CCCGATGTGGGACTCAATCCCAGGACCCCGGGATCATGACCTGAGCTGAAGGCAGTCGCCTAACCCTCCCTCTTTCTAAAATAAATAAATAAATCTTATTTAAAAATAACAGCTTTATTGAGGTATAATTCACATACCACGCAGCTTAGCTATTTAGAGTACATAGCGTTTAGCGTATTTATAGAGTTATGCAACCATCATCACAGTCCTCAAAACATTTTCCTCCCCAGGACACCCCATACCTATTAGTAGCACCCCCCCATTCCCCCTTTCCCAGCCCATGGCAACCTACTTTCTGTCTCTACGGATTTGTCTCTTCTAGACATTGTTTGCTTGGGTTTTAATCTGCTGCTCAGGTCATTCTGGTGCCAGATTTGGAACGACTGGACTACAGGCATCCTGAAGTTCCCAAGACACCGTTCCCCACCCGCCCCGGGTCCCAGGGCTGGTTCAGCTGAGGCAGGGCATGCCTGACTTGTCCCCTGGGAAACGTGGGCCCCGGTGGCTGAGCATGCAGTGGAACCAGCTGTTCCAGACAGTGAATCTGTCCACACTGTCTCTGGCCCAGCAGCAGTGGGACAGGGTGGTGGTGATGGTGTCCTCCCAGGGAGCAGGATTCAGCCGTTCTGTGAGCGGAGCCTGAGGAGGAGGGGTAGACAACAGCATATGGAGAGGGAAAGTGTTGGAGAGAGGAAGTGGGGGGAGGCAAAGCAGGACCCGCCCTTGTGATACAGGTGGAGGGGGTGGGCGAGCCCACCAGTCTGGCCCACGTGACGGAGCTGTGGCATAGGACTGAGTGGCTTGCATTCCAGCAGGTGCCAGTGACCTTGGAGGACATGGCGGCGTACCTGTCCCAGGAGGAGTGGGAGTGCATGGACCCGGCTCAGCGGGACTGCAGCTGGGACGTGCTGCCGGAACACGGGGGTAACATGCAGAGAGACCCTGGCCACTGCTCATCAGTGGCATGTCTGAAGTGGGCCGGTCTCAGGGAGGGTGGCTCCTTCCCTTAGGCTGGCTCTGGCCAGCTTGGCATTTCCCAATAGTTGTATGTGAGCCTCAGGCACCCTAGGCCCAGCATATCCCTGCTCTGTATCTCCCATGTCTCCGCACCACTTACAAAAGCCAGTTCAACAGTTCTCAGGCTGCAGTGGCCCGAGGAATCACTGGGGAGCATGTTGAAATAAGAACTCACACCCTGTTGCTTGGTGGGTTCAGTGGGCCAGGGGTGTTCACTGGAGAGTCCGCTCAGCAACCAGCTGAGTGCAGCCTGCACAGCCAAGGTTGCTGGTGACCCGTCAGGGGCCCAGCTGCAGTGGGAAGAGTATGGCTGCTCACCTTACCCCAGGCAGGTGCCCACAGATGTCCTGGGTTCCTTATTCTTTTGTTCCTTCACGCACATGGTTGGTCCAGTTTGACCTTGGCCTCTGTGCTGCCCACAGCCCCCGTGGGTAGAGCTGCTTCTGGCAAGGCCTTGGCCATCCACAGCCTCTCCTTAACCCACCAGCCCCAGTTCACCACCCAACACTATTCCTTCTGCTCTTCCCGCTCAGCTCATCTTGACACTCCAGATACCCATTCACTCCCTGAAACAGGTTCTGAAGGAATTGAGATGCTTCTTTGTATCAGTTGGGTTTCTTCAGACAGACAAAACCAATAGTGTATATGTGTGTGTGTGTGTGTTTGTGTGTAAGTTAAGACATTTATTTTAAGGAATTGGCTCATAGGATTGTGGATGCTGACAAGCCTAAAATCGTAGGACAGGCCCGCAGGCTAGAAATTCGAATGAGAGTTGATGTTGCAGTCCTGAGTCTGATATCTGCAGGCCACCCAGCTGACTGGAAACCCAGGCAGGATTTGTGTATTACAGTCTCGAGGCAGAATTCCTTCTCTGGGGGAGGCACCTGGGTGGCTCAGTTGGTTAAGTGTCCAACTTGATTTCAGCTCAGGTCATGATCTCAGAGTTGTGAGATCAAGGCCTGCAAGGGGCTCCATGCCGGAAAAGAAGCCTGCTTAGGATTCTGTCTCTCCCTCTGCCCCTCCCTGGGAAACCTCAGGTCCTGCTCTTAAGGCCTTCAACTGACTAGATGAGGCCCACCCACAGTGTGGAGGGTGATCTGCTTTATTTACAGTCAGCTGATTGTAGATGTTAAGCAGATCTACAGATGACATCCTGAGAGGTTATTTAGCCTGGCTGTGGTACCACTGTTTAGTTAAACACCAAAACACTGTTGACATTGGGGCTGTAGAATTCTCTGTTATGATGCCATCTAGTGAGCTATAGGATGTTCACCAGCATCCCTGGCTTCCACCCACTAGATGCCATTTGCAACATTCTTCTCCCCAGTTGTGACAACCAAAAATGTCTTAAGACATTGCCAAGTGCCCTCTGAAGGCCACCATTGCCCCTGGGTAAGAACCCCTGGCCTAGAGGTTATGAGCCCAGACTCCAGAGCCCGTCCTGTAACTTACTAGCCCAGTGACTCTGGGTAAGTTCCTCAACGTCCTCATCTTAACAATGGGACAGTAACGGCACGCACTTCACTGGCGTTGTGAGGGTTTCACGAGCTGCTGGCCGTGGTTCATTATCTCTGTTCAGGGTCTGACACTCCCCTGCTAAGTGCTCTGAGGCTCGCTCTCATGTTCCTCAGATGGGACAGCCGCCCAGCCTCTGCCTTCTTATTGGAAGCCTCCCCTCTCCCTGTGAAGGCCTCACGGACTGTGTTTTCTGTGTCCCAGGGCTTGGGCCGCAACTTGAGGATGGACAGGACACCCTGGAGGACGTGTCAATGGGAAGGGAGCGGGACCGAGAGCTGGTCAGGGGCATGGCCGGGACTGAGCAGCCTCTGGAAAGAGGAGGACCGCGACGAGTCGAAAAGCCGTACACATGCCCCGAGTGCGGCAAAGGCTTTAGCAAAACGTCCCACTTGACCAAGCACCAGCGCACGCACACCGGGGAGCGGCCCTACAAGTGTCAGGTGTGCGGGAAGGGCTTCAGTGACCGCTCCAACTTCAGCACGCACCAGAGGGTCCACACGGGCGAGAAGCCCTACGTGTGCGCCGAGTGCGGCAAACGCTTCAGCCAGAGCTCCAGCCTGGTCATCCACCGCCGGACGCACACTGGGGAGCGGCCTTACGCCTGTGCCGAGTGTGGGAAGCGCTTCAGCAACAGCTCCCACTTCAGCGCGCACCGGAGGACACATGCGGGCGAGAAGCCCTTCGTGTGCCAGGCCTGTGGCAGGGGCTTCCGCCGGGGCACAGACCTGCACAAACACCAGCGGACCCACAGCGGCGAGCAGCGCCTGCCAGGCCTGCAGAGCCCCACGGCGCGGCTCCAGGAGGCCCCCGGGCTGAAGCCCAGCCACCACTCGTTGAGCTGCCCACCTCCGGAGTCCCATTCAGAATTTCGAGGTCAGAGTTCATGAAGCTGCTGGTTACTGTCTCGGAACTAGAACCCTAATCTGAAGGCATTTCAGACTGACCCCGTTTGCTCCTGGTGGGGGCCCAGCCGATGGCTGCGGGACATTTCAGGTGCCCAGGCCGAGGGAAGAATCCGGGCACTGAGTTCAGCAGTGGTTGGACATGCAGCAGGTGGACCTGGGTCCTGGGGCCGCCGTCCAGGTGACCACAGCCTGGGTGGCTCACCACCCCCAGGGATGGATTCTCACCGTTTAGGAGGCCAGAAGGCCAAACCCAAGATGTGGGCAGGGCTGCTTCCTTCTGGAGGCCCTGATGGGAGAGACTGTCCCACGCCTCTCTCATGGCTTCTGGTGTTCCTGGCGTCCCTGGTGTTCTTGGCTTGTGGCCACATCGCTCCCGCCTCTGCCTCTGCTCTGGTGTCCTCTTCTAAGGGCACAGTTATTCGATTTAGGGCCCCCGATCCAGAATGACCTCATCTCAATTACATCTGCATAGACCTTGTTTCCAAATAAGGGCACATGCTGAGGTTGTGGGTGGACGTGAAGCCGGGGACGGTTATCAGCCCACTTCAGGGAAGCCTCCAAAGCTCCAGTTCCTTGCAGCGTTAACATACCCCAGCCTTCCCTGGCCTCCCACCTTCCCCTCCAGCCTTGCCACACCCAGTATGTAGCCTGTGGGGGCTTTTTCTGTATCCCTGTGGTGTCAGCGGGGCAGTGGGGTGAGGTGGGGGTCGCCTTCATAGATCCATGGCTGTTCTAAAGGATGAATGCCTGGTGTGGGAACGCTTCCCTGATACCCCATCTTCCAGCCTCCCCGGCCCATGAGGAAGCCTGTGGATTGGACCAGCCTTGCCATCTGTCCCCAGGGCAGGAGTCCAGGGTTGCCTTTGCTCCAGCCCCAAGTGGCCAGGCCAGAGGCAGCCTTGGCTGCCCCACTTGGTCTTTCTGATCTGTTCACATCCACTGTGTCCTGGGCAGCTGAGGGGAGCGGTAGAGAGTCCTGGTTTCATTTCGTCATCACTGGAGTCTTGGAGCAGCTGCTAAAACCTCTTGGTTCTGGAACATTCCATGCAGGGAGTGTGGCAGTTTCCCATGGTGGGGTTGCCTTGGGCCTCATGCTGTGCTCCATTCTGTTGGTCACCCAATCACTGTAGGTATTTTCCACCTTTCAGCATAACCCATGTTCCAGGGTGCGTGATCTGTTCTTGGTTCCCTTAATAAAGTCGGTTCCTCTGGCCTCGTGTGCTCTGCCTGGTGTGTTCTCCAGAGAAGGGGGCCACTCAGTTGAAGCATGGTTTGACCTTCTAGGCCAGCTTCCAGGGCTCTTGAGCACGCCTGGCTTTGCCGACCACTCTCCTTCCCTATGCGGCCGTGAGTCTGCGGGCTCACTTCTGTCATGTCCAGGCTGGTGCTGGAGGCCACCGGCTGCCCACTTCCTGGCCTGGGACCTGGGCCCATTAGTACCTGTTCCAGACTATTCTCTCACACAGTCCTAGGACATAGGGCTTTTGTGACTCTCCTTTTATAGATGGGAAACTGAGGTCCTGAGTGCTTCCAGCACCTTGTCCAGGTGGCAGAACTACCACATCATCCTCTCGGCTTGCCTTAATGGTCGTTCACCCAGTTGAACTTAGAACAAAGAGTTTATTTTCTCTCACTTTGTAAAACATTCTTAATGAACTTCTGACGTTAAAAGGGGTAGACATGTGGAAAATGGGTTCAAAGGAAGAAAAGCTGGCCATTGCTCCTGACAGGCTGCATGGGTGGAGGTGGTCACGTTTAGTCTGCCTTGCCCAGTGCTTGAGTCCTGACCACACTGCACATGCCCTGGAGCAGAGGGTGAGGGACTTTCACAGATGGGCAAGACCCGGGAGCCCACGTGACACAGTGTGGTTAACTGCCCTGCCGGTAGGCCCACCCAGGGCTTCCTGTGGCCTTGGTGGCAGCTGCCTTGCCCCTGACCCCTTATCATTGTGGGTGGGGGCTGCTGTGGGGGCCCCCATGGCCATATCAAGTGAGGTCTGTGGCCCTGATCATGACTAGCTGAGGCCAGGCAGAGGCTGCCTTGCCTGGTGCAGGGCTTGATGGAAAGAGACCCTTGCCCATCCTCAGCACATGCTAACAGGTGGTGACCCCAGCTGAATCCTGGGACACGTGCCCAAATGCCAAGGACCCTACCAAGCCACTGAGCCCATGTCACAGGGGGACTCGAGATGACTGCTTTTCCCATGGGGCAGGCAGGGCAGAGCGGGGCAGAGACTCTGAGAAGCAGAATCTCGGAAACAAGTTGATGAGAAAACAGAGGTGCCCACAGATCAGGGCTTCAGCCTGTTGGGGACAGCAGGGCTGAGAACAATATGAAAGGACTCTGAAAATGGGCGGTGGGGGGTGATGTTTGCAAAGTAACGAGAAGGATGTCCTCCACAAGGCCGGGTGCCACTCTGTTCCATGGGGACTGTTTGGGTGTCAGGACACTCAGTACTCTATATCTGTGGAAAGGTCAACTCCACCCATAGTTTGGAAGGACCCTAAAACAGATGTGTGCCTTTGTATCTTGGTTAAAGAAAAAAACCTTCAGTCTTCCCCCATTTATCAAAGAGTCCATTTGGTGTGTGAGAGAGAGCGGGTGGTGTGTTCATTTAGGCACATAAATAGCAAGCAGCCAGGGACCCAGAAGATCAGGCTCAATTCTCTTCCAAGACCCTTTCTCTAAACCCTGAAATTCTCTAAATATGTTTTACTTGAGTTTTAGTTTTATAAAGAGCTTGCATGATGGCAATAACAGAGAAGAGTGCAGACACGGGAGAGAAAACGCCCGACAGTCCCCCTGTTGGCACGGACGGTGCTCTCGGTGGGGTCTGCTTCCCAGGCGCTGTTGTCCTGCTCTGTGTACAACTGTGTTCTGGCATCTTTGCTCTAAGTGCACAGAATGATCTGCCCCACAGCCTGAGGGTCCCCGTGCTGCAGAAGAAGCACCTTCTCTCGGAAACAAGGGAGAGCCAGGGGCCCAGGCATGTGGATGGAGAGTGGAATCATTCCGCCCAGCTCCTTCTCCCATCTGGTCCAGGACGCAGCTACAGTTGGCCCAGGGGAGGCACCAGGGCCTCCCTGGCTGTCCCTGGCCCAAGAGTGTCCCCTAGCGCCCTGGGACCTCCCCCTGGGCGTCTGGCCTGGGTGCTCTGCTGCTCGGCCCAGGCTGGTATATGTTGCTTCCTTCCAGTTGCAGAGCTGGCTGAATCTTCAGGGACTTGAGACTTCTGGACACTGGGACCCCCAGTGGCAGGTAAATTGGGCTGAGCTGTCCCCTCCCGAAATGCCCTGAGCTGCTGGAGAAGCTGACTCTTCCCGGTGCAGTCCCTGTGACACAAGAGATGATCAATCAACACCAAGTGGAGCCAGACCTCCCCACAGGAAGGGGCCAGAGTGCTTCCAGAAGCGTGTTCCCTGGTTCTCAAGACGGTAAGTGAGAGATTTTAGCCTCTCAGCCCGTGCTGAGTCACAGGGCATGTTAGCATGTTTAAGGCTTCTGGGAGCCCACTCGTGTGACGCTTCTCAACTCAGATTTTTCTTCTTTTTTCCTATATGCCTAATCATGTTCTTTAGAGGAAAAGCTGCATTTGACTCTGACCTTCCCAGATAGGATCTTCAGGCTTTGCAATTCCAAAAACAATAGATACAGCATATAAGTCTGAGTGGCCCTAGGACCACCATTGGGGCCTCTGCACGGTGGGGAGCTGGCCTTCTCTGAATGGGACACTGCTTCCTTCACCCAGTCCTTTCATTTCTAGCCAACAAGCATCACTTCATTCCATCCCAACAACTTCATTTCCAGTGCTATCAGGAGTAAGGAGCAAATCAATTTGGGCAGCTACTTTTCAGAAGGAAAGTACCTATCCCTTCTCAGGAGTGAACTAAGGTGTCCTTGGTGATGTCGGGAGGACAGCATTCCAGGCTGGGCCCCAAGTGGGCTCCCGTGGGCCACCTCTTAGACCCCCTACCAGACCCACACGTGCTAGCCTTATGGGTGCAAGACAGAGCTGAAAGCACAAATGTTCAGTGTGCCAGGCTGAGGGCTTGCTGTGGAAAGCAGGGACGGGACATCCCCAGGTGATGGGAGCCCCTTGGTGGTTACCGTAGGCAGCGGGAGGAAGGACTCTCCTGCTTGGCTGGGCCCTGCTGGTCTCTGAGGGCCACTGTAGCCTCTTCCTCCTCCTCGCTGTCAGAGGAGCTGGAGCTGAGGCTGGAGCTGGAGGAGAAGAAAGCTGGCTTCACGGAATGTGCCCCAGGCCACCCAGGCCCCTGGGATTTCCTGCCAAGAGGTGGAGGGACACACCCCAGGGCCATGTACCAAAGCCCAGACTCTGTTTGCTTAGAGCTCCGCCTGGGTTCTTCCCTCCCTGCAGGGAGAGCCTGCTGATGGGACCAAGTGGGATTGTCGGCCAGGCTCAGCTCCTGGCTAACAGCACTTCTCCACTGAGCAGTGCTCTGGGACTAGCCCACACCAGTGCGACTCCCGCCTGTATGAGCACCTGCTCCTCCTGAGGCCAATAGGAGCACTGCAAAGCAAGGCTGTCACCACTCCCAGTACCTTTCCACCGACCTGGGGTCTGATGGCTCTGAGGGCCGCAGATCGATGAAGATAGTGGGAGGCTCTGCGGGGCTCCTTAGCTGCCTGCTCTCGGCCAGTGTCAGGCCCAGCTCGGCCTGGAAGCCTGGCTCCCTCGGAGCAGATCTGAGATGAGAGAGCAGGGTTTCTGAGTCCCTTCTGGGTGATTACAGTGTGACCTGAGCTAGGCCCTGTAAATGCACCTGCTCTTTTGCTCTTCAGAACAACCTTCAAGATTTGGCCAGCACTGTCCAACAGGACTGTCCCTGGTGACTGAAATGTTCTATATTTGTGCTTCCCAGTGTGGTAGCCATTTGCCACAAGTAGCTTTTTAAATTTACTTGTAAGCTAATTAAAATTAAATTTAAAAATAAAATAAATTTGGGGCACCTGGGTGGCTCAGTTGGTTAAGCGGCTGCCTTCAGCTCAGGTCATGATCCCAGGGTCCTGGGATCGAGCCCCTCATCGGGCTCACTGCTCAGCGGGGAGTCTGCTTCTCCCTCTGCCTGCCACTCCCCCTGCTTATGCTCTCTCTCTCTCTCAAATAAATAAAATCTTCAAAAAATAAAATAAAATAGGGGCACCTGGGTGGCTCAGTCAGTTGGGCGGCTGCCTTCGGCTCAGGTCATGATCCTAGGGTCCTGGGATCGAGCCCCACGTTGGGCTCCCTGCTCAGTGGAGAGTCTGCTTCTCCCTCTCCCTCTGCCTGCCTCTCTGCCTACTTGTGCACTCTATCTCTCTGTCAAATAAATAAATAAAATCTTTTAAAAATAATAATAATAAATTTTAAAAATTCATTTCCTCATTGCACCAGCCACATTTCAAGGGTTCAGTAGCCAAATGTGGCCAGTGGTTACCAATTGGACAGTACGAGTCTAGATATTGTTTTTTTTTCCTTTTTTTTTTTTTTAAGATTTTATTTATTTGACAGAGAGAGACACAGCGAGAGAGGGAACACAAGCAGGGGGAGTGGGAGAGGGAGAAGCAGGCTTCCCATGGAACAGGGAGCCCGATGCAGGGCTTGATCCCAGGACCCTGGGATCATGACCTGAGCCGAAGGCAGACACTTAATGACTGAGCCACCCAGGCGCCCCTTCTTTAAGATTTATTTATTTATTTGAAAGAGAGAGTGCAAGCAGGGGTGGAGGGAGCAATGGGAGAGGGAGAAGGGAAGCACACTCCCCTCTGAGTGTGGAACCCGAGATCATGACCTGAATCAAAACCAAGAGTTGGTCACTCAACAGACTGAGCCACCCAGACACCCCTAGATATTTCTGTTGGTCACTGGGTTGCCAGGAACAGAAGCCCACTCCACCTGTGCCCACCTCTGCCCTCCAGCTTCAATGTTTCTCACTACAGCTGGCCTTTCTCTGCCCTCCCGCTCCCACCCAGAGACAGGGAGATTGGAAATTCTCACAGAAAGGCTCTGATTGGCCTGGCTCAGGTCAGACTCCAGGGCTGGCCTAATTAACAGCGGCCAGAGGGGCAGGGTCCTACTCTGGGGAAGCCATGTGGATGGTGAAAGGAGGGTTCCCAGGGGGTGTGCAAGAGCAGGTGCTTTGGGGCTTGAGTCCCAGCTCTGCCATGTATGGCCTGGGTAAGTCAACCTCTGAGCCTCAGTTTCCCCATCTATAAAATGGAGATAATAGCACCTACCTGATCAGATTCTTGAGATGAAATGAGAACTCTACATCAAGTGCCCCACCCAGGATAGATCTGATACTTGCTGCAAGACCATGGCCGGTTCCACAGAGAGGACACAGGCTGTGGCTGGCAGAAGTCTCACCTGCTCCTGGCCTCCTGCTGCATGGTGTCCTGAGGTGTGTCAGCAGGCACCTTCCAGGCAGAAGGGGCTCTGGAATGTGTGGCACACAGAAGGATGAGCTGTTCCATGAGCCTGTCCTGGTTGTTCGGCAGGGTGTGGTCTGATGGGAGAGCGGGGAGGCCGCTGAGTGGGGACACCCATGGTTTGACTTACAGCAGCCTGAGCCTTAGGACCCCTTGGACCCCCTCGTGTGGATCTACCTCGCTCTGTGCACCCCCTCTGCCACTCACAGCCCTTTATGTGGACCTCATCTCCAGCTCCGCAGGACCAGGGGAGTGATATATACGCAGGCCCCGTAAAGGAGGACTGACTTATTAACGGGTTCCCCCACGTCCTCACCCCCAAGTCCCACTCGTCAGAGGGAACCAGAATTAACAGTTCTGGTGTTCACTTTTTTAAAAAATTAGCAACAGGATTATCCTCCATAGATTTTTTTTCACTGAATAGATTATGTAGTTCTGTGTTAATATACATAGATTCTCTTCATTTGAGCTTTAGAGCATTCTGTGGTGTAACTGATTTAGCTTGACTCCTATTGAATATTGAATATGGGTCATTTCCAAATTTTCACAATTATAAACAGCACTGTAATGAACATCCCTGAATACACATCTTTACCCGGTGGGGTGTGTGTTTAGGATAGACTTTAGCAGTGGAGTAAGTGGGTGATGTGGCTTATGTGGCTTTAAACAGAGAATGGATTCTGCCACATTGCCCTCCAAAGAGGGTATATTGGTTACAGCCCCCAGCCCAGTCCCTGCCTGACAGGAGGGAGGGTTTCTCCACATCCTGCTATAAGGCTTTAAGTTACAAACCAACAAAACCATGCTGAAACAGCACCAGGGGCTGTCAGCCACAGAGGAGGTTTGCTCTGGAATTGGAGGCTGGAACCCCCACACCTCCTTGCTCTTTGCCTCAGACCAGCCTCCGCTTACATTTGTGACCCAGGATGGCTGCAGAGGCAGGGAGGAGCTTTCCTTTTATTTACAGAACTGCCCAGAGCAAGGGCACAAATGTGGTGGGGTGATCACGCCCCTGGCTTTGTCAATGGGGAGGTGAGGGGAGGCAGGGTGTGCTCAGCTGCTGGCTGAAGGAGCACAAATTGCAGATCGCTTTGCTCCCAGAAAGAGAGGGAGGAAGCCCTGGAGGTGGGCAGGAGGGAAAGGTGTGAGTCAAGGGTAGGGACCTGTCTGAAGGTCCCCCTCTGGGGCTTGTCCACTCCCGACACCTAGTAGGGGGTCATGTATATAATGAGTGAGTGAGTGAATGAATGGATGGATGGAAATTTCCACGGACTGGCACCTGTGTGCTTGGGACCGTGAGGGCTGAGCAGCAGAGAGGACATGGTGGGCTGCAGGGCTGACCCTATTTTATTGAGAGGGCCTGGAAGGAGCTGCTTGTGGGGATGCATTTGGGCCCTGGCATTCAAGGTCAGACCTCGGCCCAGGCGGTCAGCTGCCCACCACGTGGCTCTAGGTGCGCGATCTCCCCTGCCGCCTTCTTGCCCTGCCAGACTCTGAAGGATGTGATCCAAATCCCACTCTTCAAGTTCCTGAAATAATTAAAGCAGTGATTATGAGGCAGCCGCACGGTCCTGGCGGCGGGAATGCCCGATTCCGCAGCTGCTGTGAACCACGGAGGGTTGTTGCAGGTTAGAAATCCCCAGGGTTTAGGTGCCTGCCCACCTAGGCACTCTCTCACCCACACCTCCTGCCATCTCCTTCCTATGCGTTTTTTGAGCAAAACTTTTGTTTTTGGTACAAAGACTGTTTGGCCTGGAAACCCAGTGTCGTCTTAAGCTCCTTAGGTTCATACAGGTTTAGTGTTGGGAGGTTTAAACAGTTTGCTCTTTTAAGGGACAGATTGTTCTGCGCTGGTGCTATCACAGGAGGACTTGGAAGAGAGCGCTGGGGGCGTCTGGGTCTGATGAGAGCAGGGAGGAAGTTAAGTATGAATTGGTGTTTCTTGGGGACCCTCTTGCAGCTCCATGCAGCCCTAGAGGTGAGTGAAAACAAGTGTATCGGGGCAAGCAGAAAGGAAAGACTGGCTTATTTCAACAACAATTGATAAGAATGGAATTGGTAAAAATGACCTTCACGTACAACCTGATGCCAGTTTTCTCTAAGTTGTTAAGAAAATTATCAAAATTTGCAAATAAGGCAAAAAAGAATTGCACAATGTTTAAATGTCACGCTGGAGCTTTTCTGACAAGCCCACCTTTCTTGGGCGCGGTAATTTGGTTTCCACAGGCGACCAGGGCCCACCTATGTTACGACTTTGTAAAACTGAGAAACAGGTGCAGGGGTTTTCTCTGTCCCGTGGAGATGACCCCAGAGGTAACAAACAGCTTTGCTGCTTGTCGGATGTTGACCAATTTTGTACTTCATGTGCAATTTTTCTCAGTGTCCCTTTCTTTCTCCTCAGTGTTTTACAAAATCCCGGTTTCTCATAATCTCTGTGAACCGGCTTTGTCATCCTCCTGGTTCCCTCGTTAATGAGCTAAATACAACGTTAACAGGTGTTCACACTCTCTGTATGAAAATGAGGGCTTTGCCATTTGGGGAATTATGTTTTAACAAAGTTTGTTCTATATCTTACATGTGGTTGTCTGTCTTTACAAACATGCTTTGGATTAGTCTGTCTTTCCTTCCTCCCTTCCTTCTCTCTCTTTTCTTTCTTTCTTTCTTTCTTTCTTTCTTTCTTTCTTTCTTTCTTTCTTTCTTTCTTTCTTTCTTTCTTTCTTTCCTTCCTTCCTTCCTTCCTTCCTTCCTTCCTTCCTTCCTTCCTTCCTTTCTTCTTCCTTTCCTTTTTCCTTTTTCCTTTCCTTCTTTCAAGGCTGGAGTCTCCTTGCTCTTCCTTGTTCTTGTTACCGCTGTTGAGGATGGTCTGTCTGCCAGTACCACACACCCACTGAGACAGGCAGGACCGCCTGCTGAAGGACCTGGGACCATGGGCCTAGGGGCCTAAGGTCGTTGCTATGGACTAAATGTCTGCGTCCCTCCAAAATTCACAGGTTGAAATCCTAACCCCCAGTGCGATGGTGTTTTGGAGGTGGGGCTGCTGGGAAGTGATAAATAGGTCATGAAGGTGGAGCTCTTATAAAAGAGGCCCAGAGAGCTTCCTCGCCTCTTCCACCGTACGAGGACCTGGCCAGAAGATGCCATCTTTGAACCTGCAAACAGGCTCTCACCAGACATCAAATGTACTGGCACTGTGGTCTTAGACTTCCCAGTCTCTGGCACTGTGAGAGATGAATTTCTGGGGTTTAAGGCCCCCTAGTCTATGAGAGTTTGTCACGGCAGCCCAGATAGACTAGGACAGGTATAGTGGGCCAGGCCTCAGGTTGGCCACTGTGCAAGGGACCCCCCTGAGGAAGCGCAGGCTAGGGGGCTGACTACCTTGAGGGAGAGCACCGGAGGTCCTTCCCGGGGCCCCTCCGGGGGTGTTTCTGGTCTCAGACCTGCCGCTCCTGCGGCACAGGGTGCCTCTTCCACTGGACTGTGGTCACGGCAGGCTGGGCCCCGGGCATCCCAGGTAACTTTATGGAGTATGTCCTTCTCAATCATCTTCCTTCTCTCCTTCCGGAGGGCTCTGTGGGCTGTGGAGTCTGTGCCCCAATGGGCTCGTGAGGCAGCGCCTGGGGGTTCTGTTTTCAGGTCGCATTCCCACGGGGAGAAGGTGGCTTCTCCGTGTGGCCCCCGGGGAGGACCCTGGGTGCTGAAGGACACAGCCCCACGACTGCCTTCCTGCCACATGGGGGTGTCCTCAGGCACCCGAAGAAGGGAACAGGCCTCACCACAGATCTCTACAGGCCCGTCAGCGTCCCTGCCTTGCAGAGAGGCAGGACCCCTTGTCTTTGGGCCCCACTTACTCCAGGGTTCTGCAGTGAATTCCACAGGCACCACACCTGGCTGTGGAGAAAACAGGTGTCCTTAGCATCCTCAAAAACATACTTCAGGGAATTTTTATGTGTGTGGTAAAATATGTATGTAACGTAAAATCTGCTATTTTGATTGTTACAAAAAGGATCATTCAGTGACATTAAGTACATTCATAATGTGCAACCGTCACCGCTGTCTATTTCCAAAGCTTGTTTATCACCCCAAAGGGACTGTGCCTCCCCACCCCCCAGCCCCTAGTAACCTCTAGTCTACTTTCTCTCTCTATGGATTTGCCTGTTCTAGGTATGGCATATAAGTGGAACCCTACAGTATTTGTCCTTTTGTGTCCTTGCTTAGCTTAGTGTTTCCAAGGTCCACTGAGGTGGTAGCACGTGTTGGTACTTGGTTCCCTTTCATGGACTGCATAATGTTCCATTGTATGGATACACCACGTTTTGTCTATTTCTTGTGTTGATGGACACTTGGGTTGTTTCTACCTTTTGGCCACACAACTATTAAGGGGTGGACAAGAAGAAATCCAGGCCCTTTGACTCCAGAGCAAGCCCACAGCCTCTGCCCCTGTGAGTTAATGCAGACTTTCCCGTCCCAGACTGAAAAAAATTCTCCAGAAGAGTCACTGAGGTAATTATATAAATGAAGAAAACACAAGATAAGACCATGTGGACATCGCTGCACCTGCACTAACCACAGGGCTTGGCAGCCCTGGGAATTTCTCCTGTTTGGGGTTATACTTCTAGGCATGGCTGGGTGAGTGGCTGATGTCTGTCCTGGTGATGGGTAGGAGACATGCCCTGCCTGGTTCCGTAAAATGACCCCGTGTCAGTGCTTGCACTGAGAGGTAGACTGCAGCACATAACCACTCTGCCCAAACCAGCACGGAGAGACTTGACCAGACTCTAGAATGGTTTCCAGCAGTGCACGGCTAGGATGACCCCAGCCCTGCCTGAGGAAGCTCAATGCTGCAGGGAGAATTTAGTGTTTGTTCCAGCCAACAGCTGACCTCCCTTAGAGCATTTACTAAAAAGGGTTTATTATTGTGAGTATGTGTCTCTTAAAACCGAGAAGCATCTGTCACGGGAGAGCCATTCCTTTGGAGGGACCTGGCTTCGGTCTCCCTTCTCCGTGGGAGGATAGACTGCTGACTTCCATACCTGCCAGCGACACACCTCCTGGCCTGGTCACACCCTCACTGACCCGCTGTCTGTGATCGTTCACGACCCTGACTCTAGTGGGCCCTGCTCTCCTCCTCCCTCCTCCCTTTAAAACCCCAGTCACCTCTGCACAAACCAGACAGAGCTCAGCTCTTTCCCCTGCTGTCAGCAGTTACTGAATAAAGTCTGCTTTCACTGCCTTGATGGATGTCTGGCTGTGTTGGTCTTTGAGAACATCCCCCATTCTCCTGGTTAATGAGTGACCACTAGTCATAATAGTTACAACGGAGCTAAGCCAGTCTCCTGGAGCTTTTAACAAGAGTCAGGCAGGCCTGACCGGTTGGGGACCTGCCCAGTGATGAAAGCCTATTGATGGCTTCTATTTATAAAGGCAGCAATTAACTTTAAGCACCAAGCCATTAATTTTAGATAGAGTTTTTTGTCTCTGAGAAATGGGAAGACAAGAAGATAGAAAATTTGCTCTGACAGTTGGAATGACTAACTATGATGCTTATAGAGTGTGCTGTGGTGTTTTCTAATTGTTTCTTGTGTTTGTCTTGCCTCTCCAGCTAGGGGCACCTTCTTATCTCCGAATCCCCACTGTCACCCTTATTAAATCAACAAATGTTTGGGGAGTGCTGGGGTTTTAACCTCTTTGACCCCCACTGCCGTTAGGGTCTGGTGAGAGCATGGCCACCCACACCCATACCCCATTCTGCCCACAGGGGCCCAGCATCGTGGATCCCTGGAGCCTGCCTCCTACAGACCTCAGGAGGCCCAGCGGCTGTAGCAAGCCAGGCCCTGGCAGGCTCTTCAGCCAGCTCCTCTGACAAGTCTGGGATCAGGGCAGTTTGATCTCGCTGGAAGATGAACAGCTCCTCTGGCCCGCAGTCTGACTGTGGACAAATGAGAGGACTTTTGGATTATGGGGCGGCGGGCAGAGCCAAGAGGGCCTCAGGCTCCAGGCGCCCTTGCCCTGCTGCTCAGAATGATCTGGGGAGATCAGTTTTCTCCCAGAGGCCCTTGCCCTGGCTGCGTCCTGCCACTGCTTTAGAAAAGGGCTTGGCCACACAGCCTTGTGAAGGTGAGATCCAGGGCTCCCCGTTCTGCACATACTTGCTGCCCCCTAAGACCTTGCACATAACAGGTGCCCAGTTAATGGCCGGCATCGAATGAACAGGGCAGCGAGGTGGTAGCTGAAAGAAGAGTCCAGCTCTCCCCCTGCCCCGCAACCTTCAGCCAACACTTAAATGACACAGAGCCTTGGTGCCTCTAAGGGGAGAGGGGACACATAGAGTTCCCAGCTCACCTCACGAGGATATCTGAGGGTGAGAGCAAACAAGGCTGGAGACGTGACAAGGCACTGGGGTCACATTATCTACTCTCCATTAGCCTTGCTGTGCACAATGGCCCATGAGGATGCCAAGAATCAATAAATGTATTCAGAGAACAAAAACTGAGATTATGACAAACACAGAAGCTGATAAGCTCCAAAGCTGTTCATGGGGCAGCATCATGTTTGCCCTGGGAAGAAAGGGCAGTCGGGGCCTAGGAAGACATAGGAAGAAGGTGCTTGCTTACCGAGGAGGAATCTGAATCCAGAGATGGGAGCTGCTCCCTGACGGCCTCGAGGATGGCATCCCAGGGCCCTGTCTGGGAGGCCCAGCGAGGTGAGGACTCCTCATCTTTGTCCTGGGATGCCATGCGGGCCCAGGCTCCGGGGTGATTCTCAGCATGCCATCATCCAAGCAGACCTGCAGGGGACGCAGGGTGAAGTGAGAGGGTCCTGGGGCCAAGGGTCAAGAGCTCAGGATGGGGCAGGGGAGAGGGCTGCCTTTTCAAAGCACCTACCACACTGTGGGGGATGAACACAGACTCCCAGACCTCCCACTTGGTTTCCCTTCTGGTTCTGCGGGTTCCTGTTCCTGCCAGTTACTGTGCCCGCGCTGTGTGTTTGGTGCAGGTGGAGCCCAGATATGGCTGACCCCCGAGCAACACGGGTTTGAACTGCGCCAGTCCACTGGTATACAGATTTTTTTCTATAAATACAGTTCAGTACTGTAAATGTGTTTTCTCATGATTTTCTTAACATTTTCTTTTTTCTAGCTTACTTTATGTGGGAATACAATATATATTTACAGAATATGTGTCAATTGACTATGTTATCGGTTAGGCTTTCAATCAACAGTAGGCTATTAGCTAAGCTTTGGGGGGAGTCAAAAGTTATATGTGGAGGGGTGCCTACCTTGCTCAGTCAGTAGAGCATGTGACGCTTGGTCTTGGGGTTGTCAGTTCGAGCTCCACACTGGGTAGAGATTACTTAAAAATAAAATTTTTGGAGGGGGACACCTAGGTGGCTTAGTTGGTTAAGTGTCTGCCTTCGGCTCAGGTCATGATCCCAGGGTCCCGGGATAGAGTCCCGCATCAGGCTCCCTGCTCAGCGGGAGCCTGCTTCTCCCTCTGCCCAATCCTTTTTTATTTTTTTAAAGATTTTATCTATTTATTTGACAGAGAGAGACACAGTGAGAGAGGGAACACAAGCAGGGGGAGTGGGAGAGGGAGAAGCAGGCTTCCCGCTGAGCGGGGAGCCGGATGTGGGGCTCGATCCCAGGACCCTGGGATCATGACCTGAACCGAAGGCAGACACTTAACGACTGAGCCATCCAGGCGCCCCTGCCCAATTCTTTTTTAAAGATTTTATTTATTTGTCAGAGAGAGAGCAAGAGCAGGGGGAGGAGGCAGAGAGAGAGTGGAATGATGGGACTTCAGAGCCAGTGTCTGGACATCCCTTGCAGCGCCAGAGGCCACTATGCGTAGGTAATGGGAAGAGAGCACCGTCTGGCTAATACCCCATCAGGGTAGCAGCAGGAGATGTGAGTGGTGGGGTACTTGCTTCTGTGCTTGGTGCACCCTGAACTATGAACAGCAGGGTGCGGATGCAGCTCATACACACATCAGGGGATTTTTTTTTTTTTGGAAGCGGGGCTCTGTAGGGCAGACTGTAGGACACCAGAATCACCGAGGTGAAGGCGGCTACCAGAGACTAGGTTCTTGTAGGCAGGCAAGGCAACAGAGGAGGGAAAGGCACTACAGGCTGCAGGAAGAGCATGTACGTTGGCTCAGAGGAGCGGAAACTGCCCAATATGTTGTGGGGTAGCAGCTATCAGTTGCTGGAATATGCGGTGAAAACGGACCAGATCGCGCAGGGTCCTGAACGCGCAGGGGAGGATTTCGGACTGGGGTTAATGCCTAAGGCTAAGCCAAAGAGGTGCTCCAGTCTCTTCCGAATCCTGGCGGCACCTCCATGTCCGTTTCTTGGCTGCAGCCCTTTAGCCCCGCCCCCAGCCCAGCCCCTGGCCCCTCCTGCCCGGGGGGCGCCCCGTTGTTATGACAACCAGACGCCAAAGGCTTCCCGGGTCAGGCTTTTAAAATCTAAAGCTGGGAAGCAGGAAAACACATCGCCTACCTTCCCAGCCACCCCCACTCCCTGTTCCCCGCCGTCCTGTCCGAATCCCGGCCTGTACCTTCGCAGCTGCGACAGGCCCGAGGCCACTCACCTCAGGCCTCCGCCTCCCCTCTTTGCGCGGTCCTGACAGGGCTATAAACAGTCCCCAGTGCGTCCCTTCGGTCGCGCTCGCCCCCTCGGGCCGAGGCGCAACTACTGAGGCTCTCACGGCCTTTGGAATTCCCCCTTGGCAGAGTCTTAGATTACTGGACTGCCAACCGCACTTTTCCCCCTGCTCCTCTTTCGGGACTCGGCGCGTCCTGCCTCTCTTGAAACAGGATTGGCTTCCCGGCCAGGGGCGGGGCGGGGCAGGGCGAGCGCCGCTTGTTCATTGGCTGACGTGGGGGTCACACATCGAGCGGGGAGAGCTGACCGGAAGGTTTGGGTGCGGGACGGACGAATTGCCCGGCAGCGCCGGGAGCTGCCCCGCGGCCCGGCGAGCGTCCCGGCGTGCTCCGCGCCTCCCGCAACCACTTCCGGGGCGGGAGCGGGGCCGCGGGGTCCGGGCGCTGCGGCGGCAGCCCGCGCGGAGGGAGTCCGGGCGAGCTTGGCAGCGAACGGACCGGTCTGAGGGAGTGCAGCGGCGGCTGCCCGGGGCCCAGCGCAGGTAGGCTCCGTGGCGGCCGGGCTCCCCCGCCTGGTGCCGGCACCTGCAGCCCGCTTGCGGGGCCCGGCGCCAGGCGGCCCGGCCCTGCCGCTTGCTCGCCGCGTGAGTTTCTGACTGCGCTTCCGCTTCTGCAGCGGTGCGGTGGGGACGACAGCGCCACGTGCCGTGTAGGGTTACCGGGAGGAAGCGTCAAGGGACGTCAGTACAGTCGAGGCTCGGGGTGTTCCTGAAGGACCCCTCCCCAGGGCCTGAGAACCAGGGCGGGTACCCCGGTCCCCGCGAAAGGCATACGCGCCGAGACGAGACTTCCTCCCTGTAGGCATGGCGGTTGACCACCCGCGTCATTATTTTTTAGTTAAGATTTTTGGTTTAGAGGAACGGCCACTGAGCGAGTATACAAATATATGGATGAGCATAAACGTTTTATTCATAACAAATACCCCGTCATTGTAGAGTATGTGGCATGTGGTGGGGTGATAAAAGAGGTAGCGGTAGCTTTGTGGCCCCTTGGCATCCGAGTTCTCCCTCCCTAGGCTCCTTGAGTCGGGTCTGGTTGTGATTGCTACCCCGCAGGGTGTCAGCCGTGTGAGCCTCCCTCCAATAATGGGAGAGACCACTTGGACTCCACCCTGGCATTTGGAGTAGAAGAGACACACCCATTGGAGGCTTGAGGGGTGTATTGAAAGGGGCCTTGAACTGGCACTCGGCTTATTTGGGTTCTTAATCAGTGTCTGTTGGCCAGGACTGTTCAGGTTGGGGTTTCTCACCTGCGAAGTGAGAAAGCTGGTTGATCTCAGGCCTTGCAGGTGTGAGGAGGTGGGGGTACCAGAAAGTAGGGCTTTGCTCTGAACTTGGTTACTTAACAGCCCCCTTCACGTGTACACATACTCTGGCCAAGGGCTTACAAATTCTTTGTCCCCCAGATTGGTGGCTTGTTGCTTGTTTGGCTATCTCAGCTGTTACCTGGAGCTTGGAAGCATTCTTTAGTAGAGACTGAGGTCCTAGTGGCATCTGTGAATTGCTGGGGCACCTTTAGGCCATCTGAATGGACCCGACCTTTGTTTTCTCCTTTTCTGTCTTTTCTATACTTGCTTTCTTGTTCTTTCCCACCCATAGTAGAGAAGGAGACAAATGTTACTCTTGGACCTAAAGGTTCTAATAGGAAGCTAAGGGGTTGGCATTGATTTGGTTAGAATTCCCAGGATAAGGGACTGTCATAATCATAGACTTTTCATCCTGGTGGTGTTGCATCTCTGGGAAAGTTCCATCACCCCACAAATTTACCAGTCTATCACACCGCTCCCCCCATCCCTGCCCACCATCTGTCCCACTTTCAAGGAATTCATAGGTGGATTCCTGCTCAGTTAACATTCACTGAATACCAATCACATCCTAGATTCTGCGCTGGGACTTTCAAGATTTATTTGTTTAAAAATTTTTTTTTCTTAAAGATTTTATTTATTTGAGGGCACCTGGGTGGATCAGTCGTTAAGCGTCTGCCTTCGGCTCAGGTCATGATCCCAGGGTCCTGGGATCGAGTCCCACATCGGGCTCCCTGCTCCACGGGAAACCTGCTTCTCCCTTTCCCACCCCCCGCCCCCGCTTGTGTTCCCTCTCTCGCTGTCTCTCTATCAAAATAAATAAATAAAATCTTAAAAAAAAAAAGATTTTATTTGAGAAAGAGAGAGGGATCATGAGCAGGGGAGAGGGGTAGAGGAGAAGCAGACTCCCCACCAAGCAGGGAGCCCAATGTGGGGCTCGATCCCAGGACCCTGGGATCATGACCTGAGCCGAAGGCAGATGCTTACCTGACTGAGCCACCCAGGCGCCCTATTTGTTTAAAATTTTTATACAGTAAAATTCAGTCATTTGGTGTTTGGGTCTATGGGTTTTGATTAATGTATAGAGTCAACATACCCACCAATCAAGATACAGAACAGGTACGTTACCCCCAAGTTCTGTCTCGCTGTCCCTTCGAGGTTTCCCTGTTCCTAATCCCTGGTACCACTGATCTGTCCTCCAGCCCTTCAGGTTTGTTTTTTCTAAAATGTCATATAAATGGAATCATACAGTAGGTAGCCTTTGAGTATGGCTTCTGTTTGCACAACTGTGTTTGAGATTCGTTCATATGTTATGCATATCAACTGTTTATTTCTTCTGTTTATTACTAGCGTTCCATCATATGCTATTCTGCCATTTATTTATCCATTCTTCCATGTGTTTTAACAGCAGCCCTTTGAACTATGTCCCTATTAGACAGCAACGAACTAGGGACTGGAGATGTTAAATAGCAGAGCTAAATTTTGATATAACTCCCAAGTCCAGGGTTCTTTCCCACCCCACCCAAGAGGTGATTTGGTCCAGTGACTCAATTAGCATTTCTTGACTGCCCATCCAAGAGGTTGTCAGGCTTCCTGAGTTGCTGGAGAATTCCCTTTGCAGAACTGGGGCCTGAGGATTGATGAAGGAAAGTATACACCCCAGTGTGTGACTCACCATATGTGCTCCTCTTTTTCTGTCTGGTGACAAGCTCACCAGTATTGGCAGGATGGAGCTGCCCAAACCATACAGTATTGAATAAAAATTTTCTAAGCCTGTCCTAGGAGTTGACTGCATTGAATCTGCTAGGATAGTGACATCGAGGCCTCCTGCAGGTAGGAGTGCAACCATCGTGTTTCACTCCCTGGAACAACCAGGAAGGAAAGACCTAACCCCTGGGTCTCCCTCCACAGTGATGTCGGAGCTCAGCGATGAAGCTAGTGAGCCAGAACTCCTGAACCGCAGCTTGTCCATGTGGCATGGGCTGGGTGCTCAGGTCAGCCGGGAAGAGCTGGCCGTCCCCTTGGATCTTCACACAGCTGCTTCCATCGGCCAGGATGAAGTGGTGAAGGAATGTGTGCAGCGGTAAGAGATCTTGGGAAATGTTCCTTCTGCTTAGATTTTGAGTACCGTCTCTGTGGCTTCAGATCCCAGACAGAGCTATCAGTAAGCTCATGGGGCCTCACCCAGTCATAAACATTTCAGGCACACAGATCAATCCCCATGTCTCTTGGACAGTGGTCAGTAATGATTTATGCTGGACACTAATAAGGAAGTCAGTTTGTATTCCTCGGAAGAAAGAGAGGCTTTAAACATTTTTCATAGGCTTATGAAACGTTTCAGGCTTTCTGTAGAGTCACTTAATGGTTTTTATGAATTGCAGAAATGTTCAGACAAAACAAAAATAAAGTTAGAAAGTGATGCCCTGTGGCCTTCTTTCCCCAGAAGGTTCATTTTTATCTCTTTTGCCTTCCTTTCCCTTCTAGCTTTTGCTATAGAGGAGGAAGTGGGGTTTATCTTCCTCTCTGGGGATTGCCACCTGCGGTCTTATACATATGTTAATGTAGTTTTTGGAAAAGGACCCATCTCCTCCTCTCCACCCCCTTACCGACCTACCTCCTTGTTTCAGTTTTTCATTGATAACTTGGAGAAACGACCTGTGTCCGTACCCATATGTGCCTTTTTCAGTTCCTGGGGAGCCAAAGCAAAGCCTCATTTGAGTCCCAGGCTTCTGGTTCCCAAGTCCTAGCCATCACTTATGAATATCTGGCCAGTCGAGTACAAGTACAGGCCTGTGGTAAGGGACAGTCTGTCATACTCCTGTACCAGGTGGCCTTAGGAATGTGCAGCTGGGTACACAGCACATTCTCTCATAGGGTCACTGAGACCCCAGTCACAATTCTGCTCCTTCAGCATTCTTGGGCTTTTAAGCCTTTGGGTGTGCTGTTTAAATGCATGGTCCCAAATGGCTCCACAGGGGAGAGGGGAAGTGTCTGTGCTCTGATTGGGATTGTGGCCCTAGCTGACACTGAAGCTTGCCCACAGTAAGCATAGACTGGGGGCCTGAGGGCAGGGGAGGCCTCCGAAGGGAGGATTGGGCCCAACCAGACATGTGAGAGCCTCAGAGATGCTCTGCCAAGGGCTAGGCTCTTCTCCACGTGGAACTGAGCACTCCCTCGGTGAAGGTCATGTGGCCAGAATGAATTGGTCTCTGTGCGCTCTCCCAGCCAGTGGCCACCACTGCATTCCTAGGATCAGGACCTTCTGGAATGGCTGCATGGGCATCCCAGAGTTATTAGAAGATGCTAGTGAATGGAAAATAATTGTCTGTGTAGCTTCCTGTGTGCGTACCTCTGAGAGGCACAGACTGGATTGATTGTCAGTTGTTGCCTCTGCTGGAGGCAGGGATTGTGCTAGAGGAAAGGCTGTGGGACATGAACTATTCAGGGTGTCCTGGAAGTGGATGTGATTTCCATGCCCCAATCCCAGACTCTGGGCTTGGAAGCCCATGGTTTTTTTCCTGTGGGAAACGCCTTTCCAGAATTTTGATGGACATGAATGAGAAAGATAGGATTCTCTGGTCAGTGATTTTCCAAGAATGTTTCTGTAGGATGAGGTGACTAGGGAGAAATATTGTCCATTTTCTGAGTCCCTTCCCATTCCCCTTTCCACCCAGCCCCACACTAGCAGATTCTGGTCTGTTGGGAGAAGAAGGCAGTCAGGGCTCCAGGTCACAGTTCCTTGACTCTGGCACTCCGGACAGCCCAAGCCAGATCATTCTCCGCTGGGGACCTGTGCATGTAGGATAACCGGTTAGCCACGTCCCCGGCCTCCA